GCTAATAGCCCAATATCATTCATGAAAACACGGGCTAATAGCCCAATATCATTCAGGAAAACACGGGCCCATAGCCCAATATCATTCAGGAAAACACGGGCTAATAGCCCAATATCATTCATGAAAACACGGGCCCATAGCCCAATATCATTCAGGAAAACACGGGCTCATAGCCCAATATAATTCAGGATAACACGGGCTAATAGCCCACCATCATTCAGTATACAATTATTTAACGTCGTTAACAGACAACTTTTTTTATTGTTGATCACCTCAGTATCCAATTTGGCTGTGTCACCTACAAGAATGGATCAGTCTATCCCCTTGATAGTATTATCATCTCGAATTCGAGTTTACCATTGTCAAATGACTACTAATTAATTACCTAATTAATGTCTGCGGTGTAGCTAATACACTCTATAAACTGTATTTTGAAATCAACTCTCAAATAACATTTTAATTGCTAAATAAGTTTAAAAAAAAATTAAACATGGATAATTAACTAATTATGTTTATTTCAGATCATAGCATTTTTAAAATTTAACCAATGGCAGCTATGGTAAAATAAGCTGAGTAGCCTATGGGAATCAACTAACCAACTTACTATTTTATTACATTATCCTTTACAAATAACCAAATTATTATTTTTCTTTTATTGGGTTATTTACGTCGGCAAAATCAGTGCGCGAACATTTTTTTTACATGTACAGCTAAGGCGTAGCGACCTATTCCGGCGCCCAGGGCGAACTATCAGTTTTGCGTCCACCCCCCCCCCCCCCAATTTATATATAATTCACGTGATCTAAAAAGCACCACCCCTCCCAATTTGTAAAGGTCTGGCGCTTTTTACCAGTCGCTGTCTCCTTTCAAAGTTTCTCAGTGTTACATAATTAATGTAGAAAACAGTTAAATAAATCAGTAGCTATTATCTTAACATTGACAGTGTATAATTAAGTATTTAAGCTCAAAATGAGCTTTTTATTTTTTATTCCTAGCCCTTTTGATGCCCCTTCTTGGGTCAGCGCCCGTGGCTGCCCCCACACCCGCCGCCCCATAGCTAAGTCTCTGATTGGCTTGTGTTAACAGTATAACTTTACACTTTACAAGAGTTAAATATTTAAAATGGTGACGTATTTTCGGTTATAACAAATTCACTTCTACATTTTAAAATTATTTCCGTGTATTAATTAAAAAAAAAAATGTTGAACAAACTATCTAGTTGGCGTGGTGACTGTGGTACAGGGAAAATTGGGGGGGGGGGGCGTTATGTTTTGGTTGATAATTTCTTGAAACGTCTAATTAAAGAGCAAGAAAGAACTTACTCAAACAGAGTCGCATTCAAAGCAGTCAACATAAAAATATTGTCAGGCCAGACGACTAACATCGATGATAAAGTAACCATGACAACAAGAGTACACAGACGATACTATCGACGTAAGGACGAGAACAAACAGATGATAATGCAAGTATGGCTCCTGGAACAATACACTTTTAAATGTTAAGCTATAACACCAGGGTCGAAATAACATTGGCGGCTATCACTGTAGATCTTCTTCATAGTACTTAATTGTGATGTTGGACGGGATTTCCTCCAACATGATTAAGTATTATGTGTTAACTTTTTAAGCACCATATGGGCCGTTACTCTAATTTCAGCCTGCTTTTCTTTTTTGATCTGCTTCCATAGCCTTTGTCCAACCAAGAACAAAATACAGGGCAGCAGTTGTTTGATTTTGGAGTTGTCTCTCCTAGAAGAGTTCCTGTCGAATCTCATCTACCAGGAGACCGAACTAGGGACCTCACCACTGTAGCAATAGCTGCCTGTAGTAACCATAGCAATAAGAAGATAAATATACTGTTAAAAAATCATGACAGAGTGGTATACATGACATTGTAGGCTACCCACCACAGTAACAGTAAACTACATCAACCATAGAAACAAAACACACAAATACGAAACATTCAAACCTTGATACAAATGCCTAATTGACATTGTTGTTATTTACCTTAGCAACGGGTATACACCTACAGTTACCATGACAACAAGACGACATGAATCCACACCCACCTGCCGGCACGTCCGCGCTTGTTGCCAAAGCTGATGCAGGACGTCCATTTTTTGGTTTTCTGAAACTGGTTGAACCGGAAGTCCCCGGGGGTGTAGGGGTCCCGGAAGTTGCGACAACTCTGGGACGCGACGATGTCTTTGAGGTACACGCGCTCGGCGTGGGAGGACTTCTTCATCTCGATCACTGCGCCGACCGACTCACGAATAAAGTACTCGATCACTACGCCGAGAAACTCACGAATAAAGTAGTTCCAAAACTACAAGCGAAATCCTTCAACACCAATATTTGGAACAGCAAATCTGATAGTCTGAAACTTCTCACGAAAGTTTTCGACAAACTTGGTTAACTTATAGTATATTCGGTTAGTAATTTCCAAAAGAAGAAATATTTAGAATAACAGATGAAATTTGTTTTCTATATCATTGGTTAATTTATATGTTCGATTGGTAGGCCTAAGCTCCAGAAAAGAAATAGTTATTCTTAGTAAACGAAAACTTTCACGACCAATTATTTCAAACAACAAATCAAATAGTTTAAAACTTCCAGAAAATTCTCGGTATCCGTAGTCAATTTAAATAATCTTCGAGAAGTAATTTCCGAAAAAAAATTTATTATTCTTAGTTAGTTTAACTAAAATATTCTATTAAATTAACTACAATGTTGATAGTTTTACTGTATAATCAAATTTGAAACACCTACGATATCCATACAACAGCACTTTACAAAGTATTATATGGTTAGTTATTATGTAAAACAAACTCAGCAATCGTGTATAGTATTCTTAGTTAAATTATCAACGAAAATTCGAGAATGTGTGAAATCCTTTGTCGGTTAAATATATTTCTGTAATAGAATTCACAAATTCTATAGACAAGACTTCGTTAACAACCAAACACACAGGCTGTCAGAAGGCAATAGCTAGAATTTCCAATTATTTTTCGAACCAAGCGGACAGATCTAACTCAAAACAATTATCCCTCAGACTAAAAAAAAAATAAAATAAAAAATAAAGTAATTTTCCATAAAATTTGATCTCTTTTATAACCCGAAATTATTTTTATACAGGAGAGAGAATATACATGTTTGGGATATTTAAAAAGAAAAAAAATCGGTTTGTTTACTGGAAAATAAATGGAAATTTAGAAACCAGAAACTTGATATTTTTTAAATGGAGAAATATGATGGCCTTATGAGCTAGATATCAGACTAGAAAGTAAGCTGATCTTTAATGGATAGCTCATGGTGGGCGGCTACACCACAGTGTACCGAGGTCAGGAGATTTTGGGATGGAGATGGGAATTTAGGATAAAAGATGAGATTTGCAGGTTAGGATTAAAGACGAGATTTGCAGGTTAGGTTAAAAGACGCGATTTGCAGGTTAGGATTAAAGACGCGATTTGCAGGTTAGGATTAAAGACGCGATTTGCAGGTTAGGATTAAAGACGCGATTTGCAGGTTAGGATTAAAGACGTGATTTGCAGGTTTGGAATAAAGACGAGGCTTTAAAGACGGTTGATAAAAGGTGTGATTTGCAGTTAAAGATAACAGATGAAAATTTAAGGCTGAGATAGACGCCGAGACTCCAGAGGCGTAGCGACACTTCCCGGCGCCCGGGGACAAACTTTCAATTTGGCGCCCCCCCCCATATATTTTTATATATTTATAATGCAAAACTGCAGCTAAAATGAGCTTTTAATTGTTTTTCAACCTATTTTGGCGCCTCCTAGGGTCGACGTCCAGGGACCTATGTACCCCCACCCTCGCTACGCCTCTGCGAGACACATAGCTGGGTAGAGTAACCTATCTAGGAGAGAAAACTCCAAAATTCAAAACAACAGCTGACCTGTCGTTTATTTTTAAATGGACCAAGACTATGGAAGCAAATCCAGAAAGAAAATAAGGTTAAAAAATGAGTCAACGGCATAACACGTCGACACGTAACACTTAATTGTGTTAGAGGAAATACCATGCAAGATTACAATTAAGAGCGAAGAAGAAGAAGAACATAAGATAAATCTTCAACGCATGTCAACCTTTTAAGCTACACCGTGACGCGCCTGTGCTGTAAAGTAAAATGGATGTATTCGACCCCAATGACACAATTGTTTTTGCTATTTGGTTAAGTGAATTTAAAGGGGGCGGGGCGAGGATAGGGGTTTGATAGGAATCTAATGGGAATCGTATTTAGATCAAAGCAAGGGTGAGATGTGTCGTGAAGGGGTGCTGATGGTGGGAAGGGGGGTTGGGGCTAAATAAAATAAAGTCCATGTCAATAGAATTTGGGGGAGGGGGATAAAGTATGATAGGTGAGTAAATCTAAGCATCGTATAGACGAAAGTAATGTTCTAGCTTAGCACTATTTAACTGCAGGTAGAAGAAGAAATGTTCTATTTAAGGGCTATATAGATCTAGCTGTAGGTGGAGGAATCGATATTTTAGTTTAGCACTAGATAGCTGTAAGTAGAGGATTTACCTATATGTTTAGCTAAAAGCTAGAGGTATAAAGAAGTAGATAAAGGATAAAGCTGAACACACATATAGTAAAGCAAGGAGGTGTATCCCACAAACCAGAGTAACTGATGGGTGGGGAGGGCGGAGAGAGCAGTTTGATCTCGTGACGATCAATGTTTTCAAATTCGGGTACCGCCCACCAAATACGTATAAAACAAACTTAATGTCAGTTTTAAATCATTGTTAAAATGTGTGCGTGTCTAAAACTGTAACTCTTATAGAGCTAAGTTAACCATTTCGTCTAATCTGACACCCCATGCGGATCATCTCAACGACAGAATCGTTGAGCCTCTCTCCGACTGTGTCGTTGAGAATAAAACCCTTTGGTGGTTTCTCAGTCAACACTGTCGTTGAAAATAAAACAATAATTAAACATGCTCTCCACAATTAGGAAAGCATAAACTGTAGCTGTTTTGAAGCTAATATTCCAGCCATTTTGTTTTGACGAGAGCTAGTCCAGATCTAGATCTAGACTAGATCTACTTGATCAACGATTTACACTGATGTAAAACCTACGTAAATCTACAAGATGTAGATTTACATTTAGATCTAGAAATCTACATTATTGACTAGAGAGAAAAAGTTAAAAGTATGCCTAGTGCGTCGAAAGTAAATGATAGAATCTAGATCTAGATCTAGTAATTTTTCAGTAGCACTAGTCTAGATTGACTAGATAGTACTAGTACTAATAGTAGTATAGAAAGATAATTATTTCCGTGGCATATCTGTCCTTTAGGATCTATTCAATTTAAATCTCTTCTATTTCAAATTGTTTGTAGATCTATATCTACAAGCTTAGGCTTAGGTCTAAAAATATACTAAAGCTACACATTATTCATAAACTTAATGCCATTATGATTAATGGCTAAAATTCACTGAGCATTGTTGCAATTATTAAGACTTAAACGTAAGGCCTAAATACTAAATAAAATTATTACGGTAGCTTAATTTTCTTGACAGCTTTTCTCTTCTTTTTTGCCATGCTTAATTTAAGTCACTTTCATGTGCTGGTAGCTTAAAATAAAACTTGTTTAGGAAGTTTATTTCTTTCTCCCTTTCATAATGCTGCAAATATGAGTAAGACGCTTATTATTATAATGAAATAGCTGCGATAAATAATCATTTGCATCTTTTTGGGGGTATTTCTTTTCCATAAACTGTGAAATATGGTATCTCAAATTTTGCGTGTAACTCAAAGCGAAATATTACTCGCTCAACTGCTCGTATTTAAAAAATCTGGTATATATCGAGAGACTATGTATTGAAAGAAAACATAAATTAATCCTAATTTATAAAAGCCCAATGTGCGCACATCTCTCTCTCTCTCTCTCTCTTTCTCTGTCCGCAAAAAATTTTCGCCGGACATCACGTCAGAATCGGCAGCGATATATCGAGAATTTTTTACGGACTTTTGTTGAAAATAATATGTTAGATGTTTTAAATGTATAACCACAATTTTAGTTAAAGAAGAAAAATAAAAATTTAAGGCGTATTCGAATGTAGAGAAACAGTATTATTTATGCAACCGGAAAAGCATTAATATATGTGAAAAAGAACGCATAAAACTGTGACGTCACTATTGCTTATACATTAACTAATGACGTCATCTGCCGTGTTAAGAATGAAAAGAAATGAACTATTTCATTCAAATTTGATTTAGATCTACGTACACTATGAAATGTATACAATACAATTTTTCCGGCCTAAACTCATAAAATTTATTTTATGTATTTGGATTCTAGATCTAGAGATTCTAGATCTAGACTAAATCTAAATCTAAATCTACGCAATAACTAGATCTAGACGTAGACGCTAAGATCTAGATTTAGACTCTAACTTCTCTAAAATCAATTCCAAAAATAAATTTCTATATTAGGACTAAACTATTTCAAGACTTATTTATTTTATACAAAATCTTTGTTTGGAACTGGCTAATTTGGGATAAAAAATTAATTTGAAAGAATAGGCATATTCGCGTAAGTTAAGATTTTAAAATACGTGTTTCATTCTCCGTATTTTATAAGGTGCCTAAATAGCGGAGATGTTAGTGTACATTAAAATACGCAGGTGGTGCGGGTTCGAGACACAGCAAGTCAACTTGGTTAATGTATTCTTTTTTATTATGCTCGGGCTAAACTTAAAAAAAAAATTCTTTTAGGAATCTAGATCTAGATCTAGATTGTCGGGTGTCCGATAGGGCACTTCCCGGCGCCGCAGGCGCTTCATATTTGGCATGATCTTGCCTTGGTGCGACAGAACACGGGGGCCGGTTGGCCGAAAAGTCTACGATGTGGGGGTCAAAACTGACCTCGACTGACCGGTACCTTATATGAGCTATAAATCGAAAAAAAATGTCCACGGAGGAACCTCTTCATAACTCTTGAGGTCGTAGACCGACCTTCGGGCGAATTAATTAAGCATTCAAATTCTCAATGTTTTCGAAAGCCTAAGCGAAGCTGGGCAGCATGCCTAGTTATAGAATAATAGGCCAATATAGTAATAAAGTATAGATTTAGATTTTATTCAGCCTACTAATAAATAATTAAATAGGCCTAAAGTAGTACTAGATATTAGATAAATCACTAGTATTGTGTAGGGTTATTTTTATTAAAAAAAAAACAGATCACATCTTATACTTGACTTATACATTAAGGCGGGCTCAATAAAATAAAAATAATTTATTTAGGACCTAGGCCTATGTTTTGGAGATCTAAAATTCTAAATTCTAAATAAATTATTAATTAGACCAACAATAGGCATAGTATGCTAAATCTATTTTAGTATTTAAATTTAAGGCTCGGTCATCTACTAAAAATTTTATAAATGTCATAAAATGGCCTACTTTATTATAATTACTAATTACTATTAGGCCTAAGTTAAAACCAGACCTAGCCTATTTTATTAGTAGAAAAAGTATTAGCCATTAGAGTTAAGATGTTATGGCCTTATGTAAATTAATGTAATCAGTGTTAGATTATGATATCGATCAAGCATTTATTATTATATAATATCGGAAAGGGGCCTAGCACTCTCTTAGTCATTAGTCTATTATTAGGTCTTACAAGTAGTTTAGCCTATTTATATATTATATAGGCTGTTATTTAAACTAGGCCAAAGGCTTATTAGGAAAAGGCTTAATAGGCTTTAGTTTTTAATTAGGCAACAAGGCAGAGGCTTAATGTTGCTTATAGATTTAATTTGAAATTATTATGATATACGCTACTCTGCGGCTATCACTTAACTATAGACTACTATAGAGTATATTATAGCCTAGGCCTATCTAAATAAAATAATTCAACTCACTTAGCTTACCATAATTTTTAAAAATGTTTAGTTAAGTATTCAGCTCTCTATGTCAGCTAAGGCCCATAATTGTAACAGTGGCGGAACTAGAAAAAAGGGGCCACCCCGCAAAAAAAAATGTTTAGGCCCCCCCCCATATAAATATATAGGCCTATATATGTATATATATATATATATATATATATATATATATATATATATATATATATACATATATACTTAAACACAACATACGAACATAGGATACTTATTCATGCTGGCCTGTTCCTGTTATGAGAAATACGTGGGTTTTTTTTTTTTTAATTAAAACAAATTACAACATCACATCATGAGTGTAAGTGCATTAGTCTGTTTTGTGAGAATCAGTTTAATATTATCTCTGCCGAAAATCCTCATGTTGGTCAAAAGAATATAAAACATGAAAGCTTTCTGTAAATAATGGTGTCTCGTGTCATGTTTATTTTTATGTTTTTTCATATTTTTTTAATTAATTTTGAATACATTTTCTTTTTATACCGTGTCATTCTTTAGTAAGTAATTTATAAACAAATAATATTAAAGAGAAGTAATTGCTTTTTAATTCGTTTTAGTACAAATCTATTAAAAAGAGGCTTATGAGCATCACTGTTTGACTATTTAAAAAAGGGAAATAAGTCATGGAAGTGGTTTGAACGTTTGCTATCTTTGATAAGTTTCATTGTAGTAGAAAGAGGACTCGGTTTTCACAGTGGTTTAAAAACGAAGGAAAAATGAGCGTGGAGTAGTGTCTATAGAATAAAGATAATCCAACCGCAGCTACGGTAATCTTTTTTACAAAACAAACATTAAATCAAAAATGCAAGAACATTTTTTTAAACAATTTTTTATGGTCGGCCGTGGGCCCCTAAATGGGGTGGGCCCCCCCGCATTGCGGGGTCTGGCGGCACTGTAGTTCCGCCCCTGAATTGTAATTATCCTACTGTTAGATCTATTAATTATTTAATGATTAGTAGGCCTAATTATAGGAATTAGGTCTGATACATTAAGTCCTATATATTGGTCGTAGAGTAATACTATTGGGCTAGTAATTATATACAATATCTATACAAACCTACTTATCGTTAATTTGGGAGTCTTTGCATTGACCTTAGTTTTCAGATGAAGCAGCCTAATTTTTTATCAGATTATACCATAAAATCAAAAGTAGACTTGTAGATTTTTTTAAAATCAAGGCATGAAATATTAATTTAAAAATATAAACAAATAGCCTAAATAACAACTACACAAAGTTAAAGTCATAATAACTTTTTATAAAGGTATCTTGAATTTCAACTGGAGGTAGTTTTGATAAATATTAGTATTCTGAACATTAAAATAGGTAGACTTAACATAAATTTGTTCTGAAAACATATTTAGAAATTGGTTTTAAAAAATGAGGTTAGGATTGGGGTGGGTAACTAGTTGAGGATTAGATATGAAATTCATTGTGTTTATCCATGTTGTAATTTCTCTTTTACAGGTTCACCCAAAAAAAAGGGAAGATCTGATTTTTACCAGTAATAAGACTACAGCATACTAAATGACACAAGATGTTCTTTCTCTATTACCTCTTACATTTGACATAAAAGCAGGAAAAGGTATGACAATTATTAATAAGCTGCTTTAAATTTTATAATTTGTTTTTTATAACTTGATTGTACCATTTTTATTTCCAATGATGATAAATATAATTTAGTGTCATTTATATTTTAAAATATTTATATTATACTAGATATAATATACTTCTATAATATTACTATCCAGGTTTAACAGTCTATGCCTACAACATAGATCTCCAGGACTAAAAGTGCAAAAAATTGCAATCAGTATATCACAAGTATTATAACACACGCATCTAATCTGCTTCAGTGGCGAGAACTGGGTGAATCCTCTCAAACATTAATCAGGTAAGTTATCACAAGTTTGCTTTGGTTTATTTTGAACATGTTGATTGAGATAGATTTTTATTTGTATAAATATTGTATTTAAAAAGTATTTTACCTAGTAAAACCAAGTCAGTGGTGATGATTGATACAATATGTATTTTTTAAAATATTTAATAATATTTTAAATATGCTGATTTGCAGGAAGGATATATATATATATATATATATATATATATATATATATATATATATATATATATATATATATATATATATATATATATATATATAACATTATCATTTAGTGGTTTGTCTTACAAATTTGAATTATTTACTTAATCTGTCTTAACTGCTCAACAGGAACTAGGCATACCTAATGAGCGTCAAGCTGATACAGTAAATGTACAGAAGAGTTTATACACAAGGTAAATATTGATAAATTTTAAGTTTTACTTTTTTTAGGGATACATGTAGTGTTTTGGGAGAAAGGAATTAAATTATTTAAATTAGGCCTAATAGTTTATTTCTCTATCTTATGTTTCTCTTAAAATAACTTAAATGTTTCCCCCTTTATCACTAAAGCAAAATTTTATAGATATCTATGCCATGATTCATCTCATTCAATCACTTTTTTCTTGTTTTGTTTTGATGTATTAAACTAATTTAAACTAAAGATTATTTTTTTTTTGCTAATTTTATTTCAGATGGATGATTAAGAAAATCATTTTGTTTTGTTTCAGGAAGTGAAAAGTGATGTAAAAGGCAACTAATACTTCCATCTACCATAGTTAAACAAGAATCTGCAAATGGTGATAATTGCAATAATCTTGATATATTAATGTTTGGCTTTAAAATTATATGCAATTGTCAGGTTTGATAAATAAATTATTTCTCAAAATTTGATGTATTTGGTTTTCTTACTTTGTACATAAGATGCAAGTGATTGAAAGCTGAAAAGTGTTGTATGTAGTTATAGTACTCCCAGCACAAGTTGACATTAAAACAGCTGAAGCCCTTTAAAAAAAAACAAAAAATAAAATAATCTAGGAATGCTGTTTCTATTAACTGAGCACTTATTTGGAAAAGAACTTAATTGTTTACCAGAGAATACTGTGACCCAGTTTGTACTCCAGGCAAAAAGTGCCTATGTTTATTATTATTAAGTTAAAGAAAAGTATCAAACAAACAGGATAATATTAATAATAAAGACCTCCACACTAGAGAAGTATGGAATGAGTGTTGCATGGAATCCAAATCAACTTTGATGTTGCTAATTGCTACACTGGCCATAATTGGCCTACATTGACTTTTGCTGAGCTAGGCAACTGTTTTTGTTTAACTTTAGATGTCGACTAAATAAAGAAGAAAACTGACACGCGAATACTAAAATCAAGAACTTGTAAAGTTCGTGGTTGCTAAACCGAGAAGTCCTGAGTTCAATCTCCCGTGTAGATGAGGCTCTATAGTTGGGGATAGCAACCTATCTTGGGGATACAACACTTGTTTTTGGATTGACAAAAGATAAGAAAAGAAATCCAGAAAAGAAAAGCAACTGAACGAAGAAGAAAAAGGCTGGATATATTCGGTATCAACTGTACAATTTTAACAGACACACATTTCAAACTACACATGCATTTCAATGACAAAGTTCAGTGAAGCCATAATGTTGAGTTTGACTGAATGAAGAACGATATTGTTATTTCAAGCAAAGTTAAGGTTTATTGTCTTAAAGACATTGTCGTGGATTGATTTAGACTAAGACTTCCCTGTTAAATAAGCCGACAACGATGGCTCTTCTTATTTCTCGTCTTTGATGTTGCTTTCAAGAACTTGTATGAGATTAGATTACCTACATAAGGCTACAAAGTTTGGAATCTTGGCTTTCTAATAGTGGACCTGGCTACATGACATTACCCCCACCCCGTCAATTACCCCCCCCCCCCCCCCGGAGGAGACCCCCCCTCCCGTATTTACCCCCCAGGGGCAATTACCCCTTGTCAATAACCCCCCTGGAGAATCCCCCCCCCCTCCCCCGGCCTCAAGTTATGATCCTAACTCAAACTCTATACCTATGTATTTCCTTAATCCTAATCGATAAAAAAATGACCAAACCCTAAGCATTCACCTCAGCCTAAAACTTAACACATAACCAAAACCAACTCTAGACTTAGGTTTCAGCCTAACCTTGACCATAACACTAACCCTAATCCTAGCCTTAATCCTAACCCTGACCATAACACTAACTCTAATTCTGAACCTAACCCTAACCTTAGCCCCAACGCTAACCCTAACCTTAGCCCGAACGCTAACCCTAACTCTAGCCCTAACTCTAACCCTAGCCCTAACGCTAACCCTAACCATAACCCTAACCTTAGCACGAACGCTAGCCCTAGCCCAAACTCTAACTCTAGCCCTAACTCTAACCATAGCCCTAACGCTAACCCTAACCCTAGCCGTAACCCTAACCATAATCCTAACCTTGGCCAGAACGCTAACCCTAACTCTAACCCTAGCCCTAACGCTAACCCTAACCCTAGCCGTAACCCTAACCATAATCCTAACCTTGGCCAGAACGCTAACCCTAACTCTAACCCTAGCCCTAACGCTAACCCTAACCCTAGCCGTAACCCTAACCATAACCCTAACCCCAGCTGTACCTTAAGAGGTGTGTCCGGGGGGGGGGATGTCCTCCTTGGCGGGGGGTAAATGACAGGGGATAATTGCTTCAGGGGGGGGGGAGAGAACTAATAATCTGTAAGTCCTACTATTCAATACATTTGGTTTAACACAATGTCGTCACACATGTAAAACAAAATAAGCAGTGTTTTTATTATTTGTATCCTTAAAAAATGCAAAATAAATGCTACGCCATTAACTCAACCCTCTTTTTTCTCGTTACATATCGTCACATAAAGCCACCGCCCAAAATGATGGTGACGTCAATATACAATCATAAAGTGGTCACCCATTAACGACGACTCACTCTTCAGACGATTTTGCACCCAACCCCCCTTCTCTAATTGTAACACATTTTCACAAAAAGCCAGATCTTCGCTCCCCCCCCCCCCCCCCACCACCACCACTCTCTTTAAAAACACCACACCTCAACACATAACCCCCTCCGCCGTTCCCCTGAAACTGCATTTTTACTTTCTCGAATATACGAAGTATGGGGTCATCCATAAATGACGTCACGCTTTTTTGACGATTTTTACCTCCCCCCCCTCCCCTCCGTCACACGTCGTCACAAAAAGCCAGACCCCCCCCCCCCTAAAATGACGTCACACCTCAACCTACAACCCCCCTCAAATTTGCAGTTGAATTTTTTTAAAACATCGATATTTTTCCAAAATCTTGTCTAAACTATTACAATTTATTAAAACAGTTATCTAAAACGCGAAATAACGTCTAAAATTCGTTTTCTAACATTGCTTTTTTATAATGCAAAAATGTGACGTCGCAACATCTGACCCCCCCCCCCTCCCCCTCATCACACATCGTCACAAAACTACGGACCCCCCCTCCCCCCTACGAGTGTGACGTCATTTATGGATGACCCCTATAGAGAAAGTCTTGTAATCGTGCAAAAAAAAAATCGAGATTTTATTTTACAAATCTCGACGTTTTACACCTCACTGATACGGAAAAACATAATTTTGCAATCTTGTCCGTATGTCTGTGTGTGTGTCTGTGTGTAAACACGATTACTTGAGTACCGTTACAGCTAGGTTGATGAAATTTCATATATAAGTATTTTATCAAAATCGTAGATCCGTATAAACTTTTGAACGATTTCCGATAACCGAAAGTGGTACTTTTTCTACTTTGAATTTTTCAAAAGCCTATAACTTGAGTACTATTTCAGATAGATAAATGAAATTTCACATGTAAGTAAAAGATGTAATTCTCTGCCTTCTGTCAAATTTTGAGTAAATTCCGTTGACAGGAAGTACTTATTTACGCTATTTCCGATTTCTCAAAAACGCACGTAAATTTATAAAGTACTAATAATGTTGCGCACTATTATGCACATCTTTATTTGGCGTTCACTTGGTGTGCAATTCTTTTTTCTACAAGGTTTTATTCTATTTTAAAAAGTTTAAGTATTTAAAGTGGATTAAAAATCATGTCTATTTCCCGAGTTGCCATTCCCGGTAGTGTTATATTAGAATATTCGAGAAAGTTTAGGGGAGATCACTCCCGGTTTATTATAATATGTACTGACCTCGATAAACATTGAGTTAATAAATGAATTAATACCAAAAGCAACCTTTTAAAGCCCGAAATAACGGATGAAAGCAAAAATGTGTCGTCACACTTTCTGATCACCCCTTCCCATAAATGAAAAAAAAAAGCATGAACATACTAAAGGAGAGTATGGATGCTGATGGAGGATCCCAACGTTAAAAATTAAAACAGAGCAAAATTTCAGGAATCCATGTTACATATTATTATTTTCCTTAGGTATAACAAAGGTATTTACATTGTGTTTTATATTTTACGAGCCGCTATCATACGCCGCTATTTAGTTGCTTCATTTTCTACTTTTCAGTAATTCATAATTTGTGAATTCGACAGTAACAATGCTGCCACTGAAAATATTTGCTTTAAAACACTATCAGTAGCTCGTTAAGGACGATAACCTCCCCCTCCCCACCCTCCTTTCACACAAACCCTACCCCCCCCCCCCCAGTGAAAGCAGCCCCCTCTGAGTTACCTCCACTAAGTTTAAAATCTTTAAAACGAACGTAGGCGCAATACTGTTTATGAGGGACCCACACAGAGGCGCTAGACCACACGCCAGTGGTGCAGTAGACAAAAGTTTCCCTACTGTAGGGCGCTCTTTTAAAACTCATAGTGTTCCTCCCGAAGCCAGGGGGGCGCACCGGGTCAAACGAATTGTCATCGAATGTCGTGTGCCACAGAGTCAATATTGTAGAGTGCTCTTTAACACAACCTTAGGATATCCCAGGGCGCCAAGTCGCATCCTGCCGGGGCGCCGGCAGACGCGCCTGATTCCATATAGTCAAATTATTGTTGACCATCGTGTCTTTAGTGTATAAATTTAAAAAAAAAACGAACGTAGGCGTCGTAGTGTTCACATGGTAGCACGGGGCGCTTCGGGTTACGTAATATCCGGGGCGCCGGCGGCTGCGCCTGTTGTTGCTTTTTTACCTTAGCCCCCATGCAGAAGGCTCAAGTTTTAATATCGCCGCCCTGGATTTTCGGGCGCCAAGCCATTTATTAACAAAAATCGCACCCTCTAGGGAAACGCCCATAATAAATTTTAATTTTTTTTTTCGCAGAAACCTTCTCGTGAGTGTTTTCATTAACTCTCGAAAGTTTAACGGCACTCAGATGAACGATGTCAAACAGCATCCGTTTTGTTTTTTACAAACTGTGTAGAGAAAAATTGCACCCTCCAGGAGCGCCGCCCTGTTAAAATAAAAAAAAAATTTCTTACTGTAACCTCCCCTGAAGTTTTATGGCTAGCGGATGAACGGGATTAAACCGCAATCTACTTTTTCGTATATATACCCTATATAGGGAAGAATCGATTCGCGCCCTGCTAGGGCACCGTGCTTGTGAAATATATCCAGTGGTATTCTTAACTTAAGTTGCATGGCCATAGGATGAAAGGTGTAGTGCTGCATAGAGGACATAAACAAACCCACAAACAAACAAGCAAAACTTCATTATATATATACATAGAGAGAAATATACATAATTCTACATATGCATATATGCATATATATATATATATATATATATATATATATATATATATATATATATATATATATATATATATATATATATATGTATATATAGCTACATTTGGTGACTTCCCATTTTCCCCAATGGCGTCAAATTTTG